TAATAGCAATGGCCTCCAACCTAAGAACAATGGCCTCCAACCTAAGAACAATGGCCTCCAACCTAAGAGCGATGGCCTCCAACCTAAGAGCAATGGCCTCACAAAAGTATGTTTTTTTCCAGTCTGTTGTTTGTGAAAGAGGGATGTGGTTGGAGTGGAGCTACCAGTTGTCCAGTGGTTTACGAAAGGAAGCAAATTAAGAGGTTGCAGCATGTTGGATCTCATACCAACTCATGCTGTCCGCGGTGCAGCGGCACGGTAGGTGGATGTAGGTGGCATGCTGAGCGGTGCTACTTTACTAGGAACAAGGGCATGGCTACTAGGATCAAGGACGCTACTGGCAGCTCCTGGCCTTACTACTAGGAACTAGAAGCTACTAGAAAAAATATACTTCAGTGTCCTAAAAAGTCTAGGAACCAAATCATTAGTGCGAGCGTGAGCTATCCTGTGTCCTGCTCCTAGGAGCCTCCTATTGCCAGTAGCGTGTTTACTCCCTTAATTAAGTAGTAGGAGGCCAGGAGCCCCTAGTAGCGTCCTTGCTCCTAGTAGCGATGTCCTTTGCTCCTAGTAGCGTCCTTTGCTCCTAGTAGTAAGGCCAGGAGCTAAGGACGCTACTAGTTTTCTGTTTTTTTCCAGGCTTGAGTTGGTGCCTTTCGCCTTTTTGGCGTCGCACGTCTTGGGCCTCGAGCAATGCATTTGTGAGCTTCGCCGCGTGGCACTTCAACGGCCCCAGTCACTTCTTCAAGCTCTCAGGAGAGGCACGTGGAACCTAGAAGCGATGGTCTCCTTCGAATGTGTTCCCTTCTCTCCTGGTCTAGTAAAACTCTTGCATCACAAGAGGAGATAGTGTGTTTCAAATTTCGGATGGATCTTTGAAGTCCAAGCCAGGACAAGTGACACCCAGGCGACGGGATGCGGGCACGGAAAGGGTTGCACATTGACTCGTAGACAGCCTGAGCCTGGCATGTCCAAAACTAAAGTCTGAAAAATGGCAGGGTTTGGAAAGAGGAATGTTCTTGTTCGAAGTGCACGGAGCGTTTGGCATATCCGGCCTCTATGAGGTCTCCAAAAACGCTTTTGCCCGGAAGTGTATGCGTTACAAGCATGAAGGAATATATCAGGCCACCAAAAGAGTTGAAACTCATTTCCCACGCAGTTACCAGCCTACTTGCGATGGCCTCCAACCTAGTAGCGATGGCCTCCAACCTCATCCATAGGAGGGCGGAGCAAGCGTTGTGCACTTTTGGTTTCCCCAGATTCCCTGCTCTTGATCTGTTTGTCATGCTGCAATTTATTGGACTGCGCAG